AGGGGGGATTTGGGGTCTGAGGGGATTTGGGGCTGAGGGGATTTGGGTCTGAGGGGATTTGGGGGCTGAGGGGATTTGGGGCTGAGGGGATTTGGATCTGAGGGGATTTGGGGGCTGAGGAGACTTTGGGGAGATTTGGGGTCTAAAGGGATTTTAGGGAGATTTGGGGCTGAGGGGATTTTGGGGAGATTTGAGGCTCAGGGGAGATTTGGGGCAGATTTGGGGTCTGAGGGAGGATTTGGGGCTGAGGGGGGATTTGGGGGCTAAGGGGATTTGGGGCTGAGGGGATTTGGGGACTGAGGGGGGATTTTGGGAGGATTTAAGGTTTGGGGGAGATTTGGGGTCTGAGGGAGGATTTGGGGTCTGAGGGGATTTTGGGAGGATTTGGGGGAGATTTGGAGTCTGAGGGGGTTCAGGGTTTTAAAGGGAATTTTGGGCTTGAATTAAACAGGTAAACGTGGGTTATCAAAGGAATAAAATGTAGGATATTCAAAATATAAATAAAAGATTGCGAAGTCATAAAGAATGGAATTTTAAAAGAATAAAAAATGGGATTTTGACGGGATAAAATATGGAATATATGGGGTTTGAAGTCGGGATTTGAAATAAAGAACAAGATTTTAAAGGAATAAAATATGGAATGTTTGGGGTATAAAGTTAGGATTTTAAAGGGATAAAGCTGGAGTTTTAAAGGGATAAAATTGGGATTTTGAAGGGATAAACATGGGATTTTAAAGGGATAAAAAATGCGATTTTAAAGGGATAAAAAAAGGGATTTTAAGGGATAAAAATGGGATTTTAAAGCGATAAAAAATGGGATTTTAAACAGATAAAACTGGGATTTTGAGGGGTTCTGAAGGGATTTTCCTGCTGTTTTTCCAGGAGCCCTGTCCCCAAAAAGCCACCCTGGCCAAGGTGGTGCCGACCCCCAACAACGGCTCCGTGGAACTGGTGCCAATCCACAGGGAGCAGGTGAGGGAAATTCGGGAATTCCGGGAATTCTGCTGGGATTTATCCTCAAAAATCCAATTTGTGGAGAAAATCTGGGAATTCCAGGCAAAATCCCCCAGGAAAAAATGGGAATTTTGGGATTTTTCCTTTGGAAACCCTTGGAATTCCAGGATTTTTGCCCTGTCCAGGCTGGAATTTTTTCCAGGAATGGCAAATTTGGAATTTTTTTCCCTTTTTTTTTTTTTTTTTATCCCAGGGTGAAGATGGGCTGGAAGCTTTGAGTTTTGAATTCCAAAAAATCAAATATTGCTACGAAATCCATGGAAAAAAACAATTCCTGCCCGTGGCATTCCCTGTGGAGCATCCCATGGGATTTTACCAGAATTCCAGAGGATTCCAGGAGGAGCAGGAAATTCGGGAAGCTGAGAGGAAATATGGGAATAACAAGTGAGTTTTTCCTGGGGGGAAATTTTGGGAAAATATCCCAAAATATTCTGGGAAAAATCTTTAAATAGTCCAGAACAAAAATCCGAAATCTGCTGGAAAATCTCCCAAAAATTTGGGATTTTCCTCCTGGATTTGGGATTGTTTTGAGGCATTTTCTGGGAATGAATCCTGATTTTTTTGGGATATTTTGGGTGGGAAAATTGGGATTTTTTTAAGGATTTTCCTCCTTCCAGGGCGGAAATGGTGGTGCCAGAATTCCTGGAGCTTTTCAAGGAAAGAGCCACGGCTCCGTTCTTCGTTTTCCAGGTAAAAATGGGAATAAAAAACGGGAATTAAAAATTGGGAAAAACCAGGGAAAAACATGGGGAAAATCCCCAAATCTGCTAAAAATGGGAATAATTCCAGGGAAAATTCCCATTCCTGGAAAAACCTGGGGAATTCTGGGATGGGTTGGGTCAATTTTGGTTCTTTTTTCCTGGAATTTCAGGAATTCTGGGCTGGAATCCCAGGAATTCTGGGCTGGAATTTCAGGAATTCTGGGCTGCATTCCCAGGTTTCTGGGAACTTTTCCAGGATACATTCCCAAGTTTCTGGGATGGAATCTGGAGGATCTGGGATGGATTCTGGGTTGGATTCCTGGGTGCATTCCCAAGTTTCTGGGCTCCATTCCCAAATTTCCAGGATCCTTTTCCAGGATACTTTCCCAAATTTCCAGGCCACATTCCCAAATTTCTTAGCTGCATTCCCAAATTTCTGGGATGGAATCTGGAAGATCTGGGATGGATTCTGGGGTGGATTCCCGAGGATCTGGGATGGATTCCAGGACACATTCCCAAGGATTTGGGGTGAATTCCTGGGGATACTTTTCCAAGACGCATTCCCAAATTCCCGGGCTGCATTCCGAAGGATCCGGGGCGGATTTCAGGATGGATTCCCAGATTTCTGGGATGGTTTTCCAGGACTCAGTCCCAAAGATCTGGGCCACTTTTCCAGGACGCATTCCCAAATTCCTCGGCTACTTTTCCAGGATGGATTCCCAACTTCCCAGGATGCATTCCCAAATTTCTGGGATCCTTTTCCAGGACACATTCTCAAATTTCTGGGATCCTTTTCCAGGGTGCATTCCCAAATTTCCAGGCTGCACTCCCGAGTTTCTGGCATGGATTCTGGCACGGAATCTGGGGTGGATTCTAGGGTGAATTCCTGAGCTGCTTTTCCAGGATGCATTCCCAAGTTTCTGGGTGAATTCCCAAGTTTCTGGGATTCTTTTCCAGGGTGCATTCCCAAATTTCCAGGCTGCACTCCCAAGATTCTGGCATGGGATCTGGGATGGATGCTGGGATGAATTCCTGAGCCGCTTTTCCAGGACGCGTTCCCAAGTTTCTGAGCTCCTTTTCCAGGATGGATTCCCAACTTTTCACGATGCATTCCCAAATTTCTGGGATCCTTTTCCAGGACACATTCCCAAATTTCCAGGCTGCACTCCCAAGATTCTGGCATGGATCCTGGCACGGAATCTGGGATGGGTTCTGGGATGAATTCCTGAGCCGCTTTTCCAGGACGCGTTCCCAAGTTTCTGAGCTCCTTTTCCAGGACGCTTTCCCGTATTTCCAGGCCGCTTTTCCAGGCCGGATTCCCAAGTTTCCGGTGTTTTCCCAGGTGCTGTGCGTGGGGCTGTGGTGCCTGGACGAGTTCTGGTACTACAGCCTCTTCACCCTCTCCATGCTCGTGGCCTTCGAGGCCTCCCTGGTGCAGCAGCAGCTCCGGAACCTCTCGGAAATCCGGAAAATGGGCAACAAACCCTTCCCCATCCAGGTAAAAACCCACAATTCCGGGAATTCCGCCCCGCTCCCGCCAAAAATTCCCTGTTTTCCCCCGGCCCGGCCGCTTTTCCCGCTCATTTCCGCCCAAAAATTGGGATTTTTTTTTATTTTTTTGTTGGGAATTCCAGGTCTACAGGAACCGGAAGTGGCGCCCGATTTCCAGCGATGAGATCATCGCCGGGGACATCGTTTCCATCGGTAAAAAATGGGAATTTTCATGGGAAAATGGGAATTTCCATGGAAAACGCATTTAAAATGGGAATTCCCGTAGAAAACCCTCTGGGAAAACGGGATTTTTAGTGGGAAACACCCTTAAAACCCTTAAAATGGGGATTTTCATGGAAAAATCTCCTGAAAATTGCAATTTTTCCCCCTTGGAATGAAGTGGAATTTTGAGGATTTCGATTCCCATTTTCAGGGAAATCCCCTTGGAATTTTCTTGGGATTTTCAGGGGTGGGCTGGGATCACTTTGAGGTTTTATTGCTGGGATTTTCCAATTTTTTTTCCTGGAATTTCCTGCTTTTCCACCGTCCTCCCATCAAATCCTTCAACTCCCTGAATTCCCTAAATTCCAGGGATTCCAGGATTTTGGAGTGGGAGAAATGGGAAAATCGTGGATTTTGGAGTGGGAAAAATGGGAAAATGGTGGATTTTGGAGTGGGGAAATCAGGAAAATGGTGGGGTTTGGAGTGGGAAAAGCGGGACAATGGATGGGTTCGGCTTGGGAATGTTGGGAATTCTGGGAATTTTTGGGAATTTCCGCCCTCAGGCCGCTCCCCCCAGGAGAATTTGGTGCCCTGTGACCTCCTCCTGCTGCGGGGCCGCTGCGTGGTGGACGAGGCCATGCTGACGGGAGAGTCCGTGCCGCAGATGAAGGTGGGAAAACCGGGAAAAACTCGGGAAAAACAGGGGAGAAAAACCGGGAAAAACGTGGGAAGGAAATGGGGAAAGACCGGGGAGCAAATGGGACAAAAACTTGGGAAAAAATCGGATGAAAACGGGAAAAACTTGGGAAAGAAATGGGACAAAAATGGGGAAAACTTGGGAAAGAAATGGGGCAAAAGTTTGGGAAAGAAACGGGACAAAAATGGGGAAATTTGGGAAAGAAATGGGACAAAAATTTGGGAAAGAAACGGGACAAAGATGGGAAAAACTTGTTAAAGAAATGGGACAAAAATTTGGGAAAGAAATGGGACAAAAATGGGGAAACTTGGGAAAGAAATGGGACAAAAATTTGGAAAAGAAACGGAACAAAGATGGGAAAAACTTATTAAAGAAATGGGACAAAAATTTGGGAAAGAAACGGGACAAAAATGGGGAAACTTGGGAAAGACATGGGAAAAATTGTGGGGGGAAAGTGGGAATTGGGGTGTGTTCCTGGCTGGAGTTCCCTGGATCCCTGCCCTGTTCCTGGTGGAATTTCCTGATCCGTGTCCCCGTTCCCAGCAGAATTCCCTGGATCTGTGACCCCGTTCCCATTGGAAATTCCCTGCTCCGTGTCCCTGTTCCCATGGGAATTCCTGGAATCCTGCCCCCATTCCCAGCAGAATTCCCTGCTCTGTGCCCCCATTCCCATGGGAATTCCCTGCCCCATTCCCAGGGAATTCCCATGTTCCTGTGCCCCATTCCCACGTGCCCAGCCCCGTTCCCAGTCCCCATTCCCAGGGAATTCTGTGCCCCCATTCCCACGCCCCCAGCCCCTTTCCCAGGGAATTCCCACGCCCCCAGCCCCGTTCCCAAGGAATTCCCACACCCCCAGCCCCATTCCCAGGGAATTCCCACACCCCCTGCACCATTCCCAGGGAATTCCCACGCCCCCAGCCCCGTTCCCAAGGAATTCCCACACCCCCAGCCCCTTTCCCAGGGAATTCCCACGTGCCCAGCCCTGTTCCCAGGGAATTCCCACGTGCCCAGCCCCATTCCCAGGGAATCGCGTGCCCCGTTCCCAGGGAATCGCGTGCCCCGTTCCCAGGGAATCCCGTGCCCCGTTCCCAGGGAATCGCGTGCCCCGTTCCCAGGGAATCCCGTTCCCAGGGAATCCCGTGCCCCGTTCCCAGGGAATCCCGT